CTCTCTCTCCCTTCCTTCCTTCCTTTCTTTTCTTCTTGAGGGACAGGGTAGCATACGAAATGATAAACCAACACTAAAATACTATTGTATCTGAGCCTTCAAATAATCAGATTTAAAAAAAAAACTGACCTCTTTTTAATGAAAAGTGAAATTGTGTGGGAAAAGGCAGACATAACATTTCTCTTTATTATGATGGCAGGAAAACAATTTTAAAACAATACCATATTGATAAGATTCTTCCTTCCGTTGGCCAGCTATACAACTAGAACTCCTCTCCTGACAGTATGCATAGATCCTATCCAAAACAATCTGAAGAAGCCTCCTCTAGGAAATGGTCTGTAATGAAAGACTGACATTTCCATCATAATTAGATAATAAATTTGGAACAAATGGGGCTATTAAAATGAAATCATATACTTAAAGCTTTACTACAAGATGCTGAATGCCCAGGATATTGTTTTCATTATGTCAGAAGTGCTGGCTCATTCATCATTTAAAACCCAAGTTGTTCATTACTGCCAACATGCACCTTTGGACGGCTACCAAAAAGACTGCATTCATCTGTTCAGACGTCAAGTTGAAAGAATGACTTACAGTTAAATGGTCTGAAAGGCCAAAAATAATCCTGATATTGGTAACACATGCATTTCAAGCCCGTTCTTGATGTTATATGAATATAACATTTAACCTACACATTTCTCAAATACATCAAAGTGGTAGAAACTGATATGAATACTGTATATTAAAAATGTGAAAAAGTAGTCTTCGGAAAACAGTGCAATATTTTCAGAGGTGCTCCTCAGTTTATATACGTGGTTTCCTATGTTCAAAGTAGGTTAATATTACTGCTGTTTTGGAGTATGAATTGAAAAACTTTGACTGGCAGGTTGAATGTGAAACAGAGGATTTTCCATTTAACGTGTTCAGACTGTGTCCAAGCCACACCCCTTCCCTCTGCCTTAGTGAGAAGAAAAGAAACAGGGTCACTTCCAAATATCTGGAATGTCTGTAAACTGCCTTGAGGACTGAGGCAGTAGTATATAAATTGCACACATAAATAAAATAAACAACTGATTGTCTATCAGTATTTTTTCTTTCCCAATACTGAAACTTAACAACATGGGCCAAGGTATGTCCATATCCATCCCCATGGGATCCAGATCATAGGAAGGGATCTTGGATCTGGAAAGGGTCTTCTTCATATTTCAGAAATGAATTATGCTCTTTTCAAGGATTTTTTGAATTTGAGCTCTATTTTTCTTAAAATTTAATAATTGCAGTCATTCGCCTGGTTGTGGTTTTCATGGCTAAATAGCTTTAATGAAGAGAAGGATGAGGGGGGACATGATAGCAGTGTTCCAATATCTCAGGGACTGCCCCAAAGAAGAAGGAGTCAAGCTCTTCTCCAAAGCGCCTGAAGGGAGGACAAGAAGCAATGGATGGAAACTGATCAAGGAGAGAAGCAACCTAGAACTAAGGAGAAACTTCCTAACAGTGAGAACAATTAACCAATGGAACAACCTGCCTTCTGAAACGGTGAATGCTCCAACACTGGAAGTTTTTATGAAGAGACTGGACAGCCATTTGCCCTAAATGGTGTAGGGTTTCCTGCCGTTGGACTCGATGACCTCCAAGGTCCCTTCCAACTGTATTATTATTATTATATACTACATATACATGAACCAAAACATCTTATCCATCCAGACACTCCTACCTACTTGCATCTTGCAATCAGGGGGCCTGAAGTATGATAATATATGTAAGCTCCTTAAGTAAATTACTGTATTTTCATTGGCTGGAAGAAAGCCTTGCTTTTGTACCTATAATCTTCCTTCACTTGCATGTTGCCTCAGACCTACAAAGCATGCAAGGCTTCCATGGCTGACAATGTACAATTTGATGTTGGGTCCCAGCAAGAGAAATGCAAAATTGAAATTATTCTTTGTTTCAATTCTAAAAGTTCCTCCTAAACGCAAATGGAAGTGACAAGGACAGATGTGGCTAAACACATACAACAACAGGATACTGAAGATGCTATCATACTGGGTGCTACAGATAATGATTTTTCAAAATTCTTGGTTTAATTATGGATTATAAATGCTTAACATGAAAAATGGAGGAAAAAAATCATTATTTGAAAAAGTGAAAATAAGATTTGCTTTTGCTATTAAGAAAGGTGTATTAGAGATAGATCTTTTTCAAGAATAGATACAATTTGGATCACAAAGACTTTGCCTACTAATGTTCAGAAAATGGAAATATTATTAAAGACTATCAGACCACAACCCAGTGCCTTAAAGTTTTAGAAGAAAAAATGGTTCTTTCAGATGTGTTGGATATTCTGGAGAAATTGGAGCAGCAGAACAAAAAGCAAGCTGTGTTGATCTTTTTGGATGCAGACAATTTGAACTGGATGTTCTTGTTTAGAATTCTGGAAGATATGAACTCTGGAGATAATTTTATTGAACGGTCAAAATTGATTTATACTTCAGAGAACCACAATCATTTTTAATGGAGAATAACAAAACCTTGTAAGATTGAAAAGGGGACAAGACAAGATTACTGCTGTTTCTACTCCTGTTCACATGCTGAACAGGACAAGATGAGAAAATTGTAGGAGTAAAGATTAAAAAAGAAACTTGTAAATTAAAGGCATTTGCTGATGACTTAGTAGAGGGAGTAAAAACATCAATGGAAAAATTAAAGGACTTTGGTATGCTAGCAAATTTTAAGATTAATAATGAGATATGTAGTGATAGTAATTTTACTAGTAGATATATTAATGTAATAAATATAAACTGTATGATATTTATTACATTTAGAAACCACCCAGTTCCCTTACAGAATGCTTCTGGGCCGTGTACAAGTAAAATATTAATACAGAAGCAAAGATAGTTAAAATACAACATTAAAAATTAATGAAAAGGTGGGTGGGCCTTCAGAGTACTAAGCAGCCCCATGGCCCCTGTGAGCGCCAAGCCAGAGGGCAGAGCCAGGTCTTCAGCCATTTCTGGGGGCCCATCTCACATCTTGGAAGAGAATATTTCAAACGGCAAGAGCCACGGCACAGAAAGCAAGGGCATAATTATGTTAAGACATGAAATGAAATGAAGAAGGACTTGTTAAGATGGGAGAAATTAAAATGGACACTATTGAAGAGAATTTCTGTGATTAAAAATGAATGTTTTACCTATAACAGTGGTTCTCAACCTGTGGGTCGGGACCCCATTTGGGGTTGAACGACCATTTCACGGGGGTTGCCAAACAACGCAGTCCGCCATTTTTTCCCCTTTTCCTTAGCTGTGCTACTCCTTTTATTCTATTGGCTTTTGAAAGCCAATAGAATAGACGCTCTTGAATAGAGTCTAATTCTATTGGCTTTCAAAAGCCAATAGGAATTGTCCAGGCTGTCTCTGCCCTGCTGAACCCGCCAAAAGTCCCATTCTGCAAACGGTGCTGCACCAGCTGAGTAGTCCTCGACTTACGACCGGTTGGGGGTTGCGGCATTAAAAAGGTTGAGAACCACTGACATATAATGATGTTTTTGTTTCAGACAGCATCTCTTTTGACAATTGATGTATTTTCAAGCAACGGCAAAAAGATATATCTAAATTTATATGGCAAGGGAAAAAAACAAGTTAAATATGAAGTATTATAAGAGCCAGTTTGGTCTAGTGCAGGGGTCCCCAATCTTGGTGACTTTAAGACTCGTGGACTTCAACTCCCAGAATTCTTCAGCCAGCTTTGCTGGCTGAGGAATTCTGGGAGTTGAAGTCCACGAGTCTTAAGATCGCCAAGGTTGGGGACCCCTGGTCTAATGGTTAAGGCACCAGGCTAAAAAGCACAAGAAAGCACGACTTCTGAGCAGGTCCTGCCTTTGTCATGAGAGCCAGCTGTGTGACACTGAGCCAAGCACTTTCTGTTTAACCCAAGGGGAAAGTAGGAGGAGGAAAGTATGTTGAGTATGTTTGCCACCTTCAATTATTTGTAAAAATAATAAAAGCGGGATACAAATAAACAAGTAAAATAAAGGAAAGAGTAGAATTGGTCTACCAAATTTGAAATCTTATATTGCCGCCTGTTGTTTGGTTTGGATGAAGGAATGAGTGTTGCTGAGAAACAAAAGACTTTTAGAGTTAGATTTACAATGTTTCTCAACCTTGACAATTTTAAGGCATGTGGATTTCAACTCCCAGAATTCCACAGCCAGCAACGCTGGCTGTGGAATTCTGGGAGTTGAAGTCCACATGCCTTAAAATTGTCAAGGTTGAAAAACAATGAGTTAGAAGATTAAGAACTGAGCTTTTAACGGCATGGAGATTTATGGCACAATAAAGTTAAATGTGGGTTTTAAAAACCACTTTTTTAGATATGCCATACTGAGAATATGGAATAAATATTAACATTCAAATGAAGCCAGAACATTTCCTTTCAGGACTGACGGATACGCAGTTAAAAAAGAATCATGGAAGAGTATTTCAATACAGGATTACCACGGTGAGATTATTTTATGCACAAAGATGGAAAGTTCCAGGACTACCCATCATGGAGGAAATGGGCTGGTGAAACTGATAGAATTTGATGACAAAATTGACAAAACTTGACTGGAGAAAGGTCATTATTGATATTCATCAAAGATTAGAAACCCCTTATGGACTTTTTGTGTATAAAAAAAAGGAAAATGATTTTATGATTTATTAGAAAGATTATAGAAAAGGGGAATAATGGTATAATCTTAGAGATGATATATGTGAGAGGAAGATCAGATGCCACTTTTTTGTATTTCTTTCTATGTTTTCTGTTCTCTTATTTTCTTTTATCTATCTTTTTCTCTTTCACGTTTATCTTTTTCTTTGAATGTACTTGTAAAACACATAAAATATTTTAATAAAAACCACACTATTTAAAAACTTTTAAAAAGTTTTTTTAAATTAATATATTCCAAACAGTTCTTCTTGAGTATTATATAATTGCACAGAAATGAAATTAAACATTCTTACTTGCTTCTTGATGACTGTATGGCCATCCAGGGGCAGTTAGAAAGGGAGGCACTGGTGAAGTTGTCCTGCTGTCACCTCCAAATTGTTGTGTAATGTGACGCACAGTATCCTTGTTTTTTCTATTCTTCCTACGCCCTGTAGGCTGCCACCCATCTGTAATTCCTTGTTCTGAGAAAGCATTTTGCATTGCACTATCTTTGGCAGACTGCAATTCATTCCCTCCATAATGAGGTGGAGAGATCTGTTCTTCTTTGACACGCAAAGTCCCATAGCCCAAATCAGTAGACCAAAGTGACTGGGATGAAATGTCATCGTGACTATCTGATTTTGGCTCTTGATCCTCTTTTCCACAAGTACTTCCTCCTTCGTGACAGCTAGCAATAGCCGAATCTCCAGAAGAGTTTGCTGGACTTGTCCTTCGAGCCAGCCAGGGAGATATGCTCCTACCAGCGACAACAGCAGAAATCAGAGCATCCGTACTACTGCTAGAGGAAGCCCCAAATTCATAATCAATAAGGTCGTCGGATGCATCAGACTTTATGCTTATGTCAAGAGCAGCCTTGATGAAATTGTGACAAGCTTGCACAATATCGGTCATTTGAAGATAGCTGGCCGCTGACATCACCTCAATAACATTCCTGCTGGTCAATGCAAGGTGTGCTGAGTACATGAAGTCAATGATTGCTTTAAAGCCCTGTGCCGTTACAATATCCAAATGAGTGACTGTGGCTTGGTCGGAGGTCTTCTGCACCTGACAATACAATGTCTTGAAGTAACGACTACTCCCAAGTAAAATATTTTTATGAGCCTTGAAAATCTTTCCCTCCACTATGATGCAAACATCGCATAGGATACCATGCTGCCTTTGTTCATTGAGTTCCTGAAGCAGATGATGATAATGGGAGGCAATCTCCATGTCTTCCTTCTGATTATTCATTTAGAAGTATTTGCACTCCCACGTCTGCACACTCTGCTGGGAAGAAAGAGAGACATTGACACTACTGACACCAATGGACATTTTTCTCTCAATGCAGACAGGAGCATCAATGCCAAACATCACAGGGGGTCATTGGTGGGAGGAAAAGGCTAAAACTAGCATATCTGCTAAAATTCCTGTAATGATCAGCATTCTACATTAGCAAAATCATTTCAAAGGAGCATCTACCCTGGGTTTGATTCAACTCTGAGAGGTAATTCATCAACTTCATGTTGTTTAAAAGCTGAGTTATAAGGTATTCAAATAATTACTCAAGCATTCTGTACCTATGAATCTTTCAGATACAATTAAGAGTGATTAGTTTTAAATTCTAAAAAGAAGAACTTAAATTTATAGTGGGCAAAGATCACAATCAAGCTATGGCTGAAATTGTGTACACATACCAATTCCGTTTTTCCAGAGGGATAGCAGTAATTCTCAAGGAAGCAGTTATCCTTAGACTCTGTACTAAGAGAGCTATACAAAAATTCATTTCAACCTCAGTTTACTTACATCTTCAAGATGAGAATCACCAAGTGAACAATCCTTGATAATAACCACCAATTTTAAAGTAAGCCTTATCCTATGTCTTCTTCCCTTTTATTGTTGCAAATCTTAATACGTTTATTGCCTCAATATAGTATTTGTGCAACATTGATTAGATAAAGTTAATATAATACACAATACAAAGTTAGCATTCTAATGTTTAGTTGACTTGGAATATGGGAAATAAAAAGGTCCCTATGTTGGTGATGCTCAAGCAACGAGCATGTGTGCTATTGCTTGTGCTACTCAAACATGCAGTCTAACATACACAAAAATATTAAAAAGGGGAGAGAAAATCTAAGATAGAAAGGCAAAGCCATGGGAGAAAAAAGTCTCTGAGAGCCTTACAGTGCTTGCAGTTATACATTAAAATAATACATATAAAGGTAGTCCTCAACTTAAGACCACAATTGAGCCCCAATTTTCTGTTACTGAGACATTCGTTAAGTGAGTTTTGCCCCATTCTACAATCTTTCTTGCCACAGTTGTTAAGTGAATCACTGCAGGTTAAGTTAGTAACACAATTGTTAATGGAATCTGGCGTCTCCATTGACTATGCTTATCAGAAGGTCCCAAAAGGTGATCATATGATTCCCCAGGACACTGCAGCCATCATAAATATGAGCCAGTTGTCAAACATCTGAATTTTGATCATGTGGCCCTGGGGATGCTACAACAGTCGTAAGTGTGAAAAACAGCCGTAAGTCACTTTTTCACTTTGTAAACTTTGAACGGTTACTAAGCAATCTGTTGTAAGTTGAGGACTACCTGTAACAAGAAGCATTTAAGATACTCTGTTCCAACAAAAAAGAAAAGGCATAGTTCAGAATTCTAGTCATATGCCAAATGACCTCCAGAAAAGCCAGATCTTCAAGGGTCGTCAAAAGCTTAAAAGGGGAGGGAAAAATCTCTAGTTCCAATGGAAACGTTTTCCAAAGTAATAAGAAAGCGGAAGTCAGGGCCTTGAAGTGGGCTTTATCTCAGCAAAGGGTCTCTTAACATTCTTTCTTTCCCTGGTCTTGCCAAATGCTGTAGACAGATTCCACTCACAAAAGGCTGTCTCAGAGATACCAAGCGCCCTTAGGCCATATATGGCTTTAAGGCCATAACCAACATCTTCCACTGCATGTGAAAGTTAACCAGCAATCAATGCAGGGCCTCCAGAAGAGTTATTGGATAAACCTTAGTGTGTCCATAACTAACTAGGCTGACCCATGCTGAACCAGCTGTACAGATAATCCTCGACTTACAACAGTTCATTAAGTGACGGTTCAAAATTACAACGGCATTGCAAAGTGTCTTATGACCGTTTTTCACACTTGCGACCATTGCAGCATCCTTGTAGTCACATGATCAAAATTTAGATGGTTGGCAACTGACTCATAGGACAGTTGCAATTTCCCAGGTCACGTGATCAGCTTTTGTGACCTTCTGACGAGCAAAGTCAATGGGGAAGCCAGATTCACTTAACAACCTCGTTACTATCTTTACAACTGCAGTGATTCACTTAACCACTGTGGCAAGAAAGGTCATAAAATGGGGCAATACTTAACAAATGTTTCACTTAGCAACAGAAATTTTGGGCTCACTTTAAGTAAGTCGGCGACTACTAGTACTTTCTGAATGTTCTTTTTAAAAGGCAGCCTCACATACAGCAGGATACAATAATCCTAATACTTTGGACAAGAAAAGGATAGCTATGCAGGAATCCTGGACAGAAAAGCACATAGCATTAATGCTAATTTCAAATTTAGATCAAATATACAAGAATAACCAGGCTAGTTTCCACTAGCTAAACATAATAAAGTGTTAACTACTGTTACTAATCCAGCAAACCTAATCTCTTCAAACTCTGAGGTTCAATTGGCCTGGTTTTTTCCATTCTGACTTGTACATCAAGATACTTATCTTGACATAGTAATATGGCCTTCAAGTCAACGCTGACAGTCAAATAGAACAGAGATGGAAAAGAGACAGGCTGCTTTGAGTAACCCCTTGGGAATAGACCATTGGATTGCATCTGCAGCCTTGACCAGTGCTATTTGTGATGGGCTGGAGACCTCAACCTGAGAACTTTCAAGTGTTGAAACAATATCTGTAACAGACTGATTTAGAACTTTAAACTCATCCCTTCTTATGACTACCCAGATAACCTAATCCTTTTACCTATATTGGAAATGCTTTGGGTCAGTTTTTTTCTAAATCTAAGACTGTATGACTTTGAACTTTTATGTGAAAGCTAAGGGAAGAGACACAAACTCAGGTTTAAAAATTATTGCTTCTTGGAATTCTATGAAATGCAAGTCTGGTTAGCTTTCAGAATCATCTCACACATTTCTACTAGAGCAAACATGCAGTGGTTTTGGTATACAAGAGACCGCTTTGACAACATATATGCAGATCTCTCAGGAAGGCATAATAAGTAAAAATAGAGAGATTCTAGTTGATATGACTTGCCCTTGCTTAAATATTTTGTACATGTTCATACAAAAAGAACCATGAATGCATCTCCTCCACAAATCAAGGTTAATATAATAATCCTGATGAGTACTTCGCTACTCTTAATTTTGTGATAGCTTCCTTTTAGACATATGGTTCAATTTAGATGAACATTATTTTGTTAATGTAGTATTAAAGGCAACTGTGCTGGATCAGACTAAAAAGCTGCCTAATGTAGCATCCTGTGCCTATAGTTCCTGTGGGAATACATACTGTAAACAGGCCATGAAAGCAACAGTGTTATTGTTCCCCAATGACTGGCAGTCAGAGGCACGCTAGCTCAGATCTGAAAGAAGCATACAAGCATCATTAATTGTATTATCCTCCATTAATTTGTTTAATCCCTTTTTAAAGCTGTCCAGCTTGGTAGCCATTGCTACATCTCAGGGAAAGGAATTCCATATGCTAACTGTATGCTGTGCAAAGGATGTTCTTTTGTCTATCTTGAATCTTCTTTCATTCAATTTTTCCACATGAGTGAAGATTTAACATCAGATCTTGTTTATTCTTCCGAAAGTGGTTGGGTCCAAGTCTGTCTTTCTTGCATTTAATATATTCATCTTGTCTGAAAGTATCTGTCAAGTTTTCTTCATCTGGGTTACATTTTTGGGACTAGATAGTTGATTCATAAACACATATACATATAAACCTGTCAGCTATTTCCCTTTGGAATAGGGAAAATTATACAAAGCAGAGACAAGTAGTAAAAAATATGCCAAAGAAATTAAAGACATGAGATAATAAAAGGAAATAAAGCTAATAGGGTACATTTACTGCTATCTTTCCCAATTCCTTTCCACACCTTTTTACATTTGTAAATTATTCTTCTTTCTACTATATCTATATATCATTTCATATCCTGGCCTGAAGAAAAGGCAAGGTTAAACTCTAGTAAATGAAAATTTCACTATCAGTAAGTTAATGAAAACTTAATGAGAGTAGAATATGCAGTGCAGTACTGTATTCCAATCCAAATTGAGAGTTATGCTTTGTTTCTGGCATGAGTATCTTGTGCCAGGAAAAGATATATCCTCTTTAAAGAGCAGTCAAAGGAATTGAAAGGAAGAGATGCATACACCAGATCCAAAGACGGTCAAGCTCATATAGTACGATATAGTATGAATTTAGTATGTTATAGAAAGATCACCCAATACTCGTCTTATAAGGCAGCCCAAATATATTACTCTTCAAAAACATGCTACTAACAGGGATGATATGTTGCTACTGAAAATTCAAACATAATTTGATGTCTTTTGATCTGAAGATTAGCTATGTGAAGCACAATAAAAATGACCTCAAGCAGACTTCCGGTCCTGTGCGGTAGCGACTGGTTGCAGGCTTGCGGAACGCCGCACCCCCACGGTTAACTTTCGTCCTGCCTCGAGACCCTAATGGGTCCAAGCCACGCAGAGAGGCAGCAAAGAAAGAAGGGTGCCCCGGCGACTCTGGAATGACGGCAATCATTCTGTTCGTCTTGGGGAAAGACTTCTAACCCGACAGGAGAAAGGCTGTATCTCATCGATCAGCCTAAGCTACTTGCAACCGGAGTCCAAAAGAACTAACCAGCACTACAGTAAACATAGTAATAATAATAATAATAATAGTAGTAGTAAAGTTGGAAGGGACCTTGGAGGTCATCTAGTCCAACCCCCTGCTCGGGCAGGAAACCCTACACCATTTCGGACAAATGGCTGTCCAGTCTCTTCTTAAAAACTTCCAGTGTTGGAGCATTTACTGCTTCTGGAGGCAGGCTGTTCCACTGATTAATTGTTCTCACTGTCAGGAAGTTTCTCCTTAGTTCTAGGTTGCTTCTCTCCCTGATTAGTTTCCACCCGTTGCTTCTTGTCCCGCCTTCATGCGCTTTGGAGAATAGCTTAACTCCCTCTTCTTTGGGGCAGTCCCTGAGATATTGGAATACTGCTATCATGTCCCCCCTTGTCCTTCTCTTC